AAAAAAAAAAAAAAAACAAAAAACCCCAAAATAGCACTTTATTCAAATATGTCTAAAGGAATTCCTTGATAAATGAAGGAAAGGACTAATCTTGGCCTTTAGCTAGAAATGACTAGAGGTCATTTTGGAATCCCGAAGAATTGGAGAATTTCTAAGTTTTCTCTTTCAAAAGGAACCAGAGTATAAAATTAATATGCTCTTCCTTTTTTGTTTTTTTTTTTGGTATCGGGGATCGAACTGGGGTCCTTGAGCTTGCGAGGCAGGTGGCAGAACACCAAACTAAATCTCTGGCCCTGCTCTTCCATTTTTGAATTGATTTAACAAACATTAACTGATTACCTATTATATGTTAGATAATCAGCTCCTAGATTATCTTAATAGAGACAGGAAAAGTTCTGGAGAAATGGTTAAAAGTTATTTCTAGAGATATGGCAGAGCTTGCCCAGAAAATTTTGACTCAACCAGTACTGCTATTTGTGACCACTAGGTGGTACTATTACACTATGAAAATGACACCCCTGATGCTTTTTTTTTTTTTTTTTTGTACGGGGATTGAACCCCCTGATGCTTTTCTAAAACAGGAGGCCCCTAGGTATTTTGGATGCCAGTGTCTACAACCCAAAGAGACTTCTCTGGGAGTGAATAAAGAAAAAGAAACACATTTCATCATCTACCTGCCTGATCCAATTTAAATGCTCAAGGGGACAGGTAGCTTCTCAAAGGATGAGGCTGTGTCTATTGTCATGGTTACAACGCCAGTTATCTCCTGACTCATAGAAGGCACTTGATAAATACCCAATCAACGCGTTTGTCTTTGAAGAATTTAGATTGTCACTGAAAGAATCATTTCTGAAGTATGGCAAAATTTGAACTTCAGAGACCCAAGATTTTGGGAAGGTGGGCAAAGACCCAGGGAGACAGTATCTGGGAAGGCAGAAATACCAACAGCAGTCTGTGGCACTGGCACTAAATGTTTTGCATGCCTTACATTTATCTTGACAAGATTTCACCTGTTTAAAACACAGAGAGGATGTAAACCAAAAAATTCTGATTTTTTTTTTCTTGAGTCTACATTATGGCTTTACCTTGGAAGAGATCTCCAAAAGACTACTCTCCTCTGCTTCTTATTTACTTATTTGTTATAACTTCATTTATACTACAAATATTTACTGAGCAGATATTATGTGCAAAGGACTCATGAAGGCTGTGTGATCATCTCTGACCTCTTCATGGTCCCTGTGAGTTCAGTTCCTCACCAAATTGTATCACTTATAGCATCCAAGTTCTTTTCCTTTTGCTGTCCCCAGTCAAGGGCTCCCTCTTCTGTCACCTGGTTATTGTGTCAACCTCTGATCGGTGTTGCTAACATCCATTCTGTTTTCTAAACATTGTATCAGGATCAATCACCCTACACCTTTCCTTCAAACTCTCCCTTGCCCTGGGGTCAAATCCAACCTCTTTCACACTCCAGATTTTAAATTTTGGGGAGTGCTTTCCCTTTAACCTGGAGCATTCTTGTTTCCCTCCTTATGCCTGGCTACTTTCTACTCATTCTTTAGGTTTCAGCTTATATATTACTTAACTTGGAAATAAGCTTTTTTCCCCTGACCACTGTCGAGAAGAGTTTCTTCTCTTTCTTTTTGCTTTGTGGAAGATTGCACGGAGAGCCTTCACACAGGCTCTCAATACTGTTTTGTTTTATATTTTGATACAGAGTCTCAGTAAGTCACTAAGTTGTCCGGGCTGGGCTCGGACTTTCAATCCTCCTGTCTCAGCCTCCCAGAGTGCTGGGATCACAGGCGCACACCACCACACCGGGCTCAGATTGCCCTCTCTCACTTTTCTTCTCATAGCATCGTTGGAGCTCACGGCTTGTCCGTGGTTATTAGACTGAGCCCTGTGAATGTCAGGGCTTTGTCTGTCGATGTTTCTTGTCTCCACTTCCAGCTGACTGTCTGGCGTATTGTAACTGATCAATAAAATATGCTTCATGAGAGAATGAAGGAAAACCATGACATGCCTCCACCAGTGTGAAGTAATCGTTGTGAGAATGATGGTGCTGGGGAAAAGGAGGACTTGCTTGGGATGTTACCATTGAGGCTGGATTAAGTGTTGGCAAATGGAGATGTTTATGGTGGGGGTGTTTCAGGTAGACGGAAGTGACACAAGGGGGACAAATTTGGGAGAAAGGCAAGAAGGATGATGTTCTTGTCTGGGGAGAGAGGGAGATAGGACTAGAGATAGCTCGTGACTAGATACGTGTAGGACAGAGTTGACAGCCAGTGGAGAGCCATTGACGGCTTCTGAATGGGGAGGTGATAGGACCAAATTACTGCTTCAGATAATGTTAATCCATTGGCCGAGTGGACCATGAATTGGAGAGAGACCTGCGAGACCAGTTAGGGGACTACCAGAGAAGTCAAGATGGGACGTGGTCAGGGCCTGGTTAGTAGGTGGCAGTGAGAATGGAGACAAAGGGACGTTGTGCAAAAGAAGGAAGAGGGAACAATGAGGCTGAAGACCGGAGAGAAAGGGTGAGGGAGAGGAGGAGTCGGTTTTCAGCCTGATTCAGGGAGGTGCTATCACTATCAGAAAGGCAAAGTCAAGGGGAGGGACCTCGGGGAAAGAGAAGGCTTCATTCATCCGACCTCTAGGGTGCGGTTATGCTGGATATGTGCTTCACTTATGGAAATCCAATCCATGTGTGGGATTAAAAGAAAAAAAAAAAGCACAAGTAAGAGGAGAGAATGACAGAGACGTAGTAGTGTCAGTCACAGGGGTTCCAGGCCTCCCACTAAGTAAAAATGGCTCCCAGAGGGAGTGCAAGGTAAATTTGTCATTTCCCTTTTTATTTGTCAAGTCATGTGTGTTTTATGAATGACATAAGGGATTATATGAGAGCAATGGTGGCTATTTGCAATCTGTGTCTCTTACGCTGGTTTTAGAAGTGAACTCCCTGTCAAGGTTCAGCAGTTTAAAGTATGTATCTAGCTTGAGACGGGGCAGTGGGCAGATGAGAGGAAGGCAGATCTTGGGCACTGCACGGGGCAGGAGGGCACAGAAGCAGACAAGTGGGGGTTCCCGTCTGGGTCAGCAGTCAGGGACATAGGTGGGTGCAGAGGGGAGGGAGATGGATGGCTGGTGAATCAGTGCTGAGGTGGCCCTGGACCCCAGGATTTCAGAGAGACCTAGGAATCATTATCACAAGACTGAGGAATGGCACTGGGAGCTCACAAGTCCTGGCGGGGGTGGGGGTGGGTCCTAGGTGAGGGAGGGAACTCAGGCAGCAGGAAACACTTTCCCTAGAAGACAGGAAGTGTCATAAAACAAGGGAATTGTCAGAGAAGCTGCGGAGGGAAACTAAGCCGAGGTGGGTGAGCACTCAGAGCAGAGGTGACCTTTACAATAATGAAGCAATAGGGGCTGCTAAGTGAATGAAAAGCTTCATTTATTTAGCGTGGTGGAGGCAGGAGAAGGGGTCCAAGAGTGACTGGGAGGATTCTGGAAGCAAAGGGAATCCAAGCTCTTCACTCTCACAACTTTAGTAAAAGCCAACCTAGTTCCCGGTGAACGTTTCTTCGAGAAAGTTTGGGACTTCTGGCTGGCGTGACCTCTTCCCACTAGGATCCGGTGCTGTCCGATGGAAGGGCCCTTTGCCATCCGCAGGACGTGACCCAGAAATAGACTGTGCCCTCCATACAGCTGCTTGTCCGGATGGAGTGCCACCCATCTGGCCCACCGATGCCAGCTGCGGTGGCTGCATTCATACTAAACATATCTACCTTATTTTCTTCCAGAAGTAGAATCCACATTCCCACATGATTGCAAATGCTACTTGCTAACAGCTTCCCTGGAGTTTGCTTCTTGCAATTACCTCATCAGACTTCAGACAAGGCGGCACTTAATAATTTATTCCGGGATGCAGGGAGCTCTGGATGGTTTTTAGTCAATGGTCCCTTATCCTAGTTATAATGTTCTTTGAAAGAGCTTTAAATAATAAGGAAAACCTCTTTCATAGGTACTCACATAATTACCACTTCGGACTTTATTCTCCTGTGTAGATTCAGAATCTGATACGGCAACATTTGCCTTCACTTGAAAGAGTTTTAATATGTTTGATGTTGCGTTCGTTCACCTATTGTAAGACTGAAAAAAAAAATCTTTACTTTGGCTTCGTTTCTGAAGGATATTTTTGCTGGGTAAAGAATTCTGGAACTGGGTGTGGTGGCATAGGCCTGTAATTCCAGCTGCTTGAGAGGCTGAGGCAGGAAGGGAACAAGCTCAAGGCCGACAACCTTGTCTAGGCGTACATCTCCCTGGAAGTGTGCTCCTGGGTTCGATTTGTTTAAATCCAATTGACAGTTTTTTCTTTCTGCACGTC